GGATGTCAGTTCTCATTGAAAAATACATCTCTACCCCTTACCAAAATGTAGCTAATAACCGATACAATGATACAGACATAAGGAAAACCCAGACAACCCTTGTCCAATTGAAGTAGATTTATCTGTAACCATGGAAACGGGATTTTAGCTGTGTCTTTAAAACCCAGTAAGTTTAAAAGTTACGCCAAAATTCGCTTGAGGATGAAATGGAACTAATGTCTTTAATTTAATTCCAAAATTAAATTCGTGGCTTTTAGCTTCCATTTTTGAAACATGGTTAGAACTGTGTAGCGAAAAAAAAAACATATTTTAAATCAATTAATTTATAATATTAATGCTCTGTAAATTTACATTGAGCACTATTTTGTAAAAATAAAACTATCTATAAGAACACCGGATTATATATCTTACTGTTCTTTCTTTTTATTTAAATACACACACACACACACACACACACACACATATATATATATATATATATATATATATATATATATATATATATATATATATATATATGAAACAAAGGTTATTTGTCAAAAACAGTTGACCAATGTGTTTCTTCATAACGTTTTTTTATTTGGTTTAATCATAGTGCTTATTATCGAGGGATTGAACATATGCGATTATTTAAAAAATACTTCAATAATAATAATAATAATAATAATAATAATAATAATAATAATAAGATTGTTGCAGTTCCTGTAGATTGCAATGTATCTTTGAAGATGTTTAAAAATCTATTAAAATACAAGAATGTTGAAGTGGGGATCTTAAAAATGTGGCATACGAGAATATCAATAATTGCAGTTGTAGTTGGAGCCTTCGGATTTATTTTAAAAGGCTCTGATAGAATAATTGAAGGGATTCCTGGCAGACCATGCATTAAAGAAATACAAAACATTGTAGTCACAAATACAGCTCACACATTAAAATAGCTTTAACTACGTAAAATGTATGAGATCTTAAGTTTTTTTTCTATTTTTTACAAAAATGATCAGTAGAAAATGTCATGAAGCCATATGTCTCTGATCAGGACCCGCAAGTAAAGGTGTATACAAAAAAATCAAATAATAAAAATAATAATAATAATAATAATAACAACAACAACAACAACAATAATAATAATATTTTTTTGTTGTTATTTATTTTTATAAAAATGATCAGTAGAAAATGTCATGAAGCTATTTCTGACATTAGGTCTCTGGTTAGGACCCTGAAGAAAATGTGTATGCAACAGAAATCAAAGGAAATAATAATAATAATAATAATAATAATAATAATAATAATAATAATAATACTTGCATCAAGTTGCATGGTATTGGAACCCACTGAATATAAAACTCGGCATGACAGAGTGGTCTAGTATCTGCATCGGAAAATCTGCAACTTCTACAGGAAGGAAACCGAAAGAAATTGGTATGAACACCACCCAGACTCGCTTACGGGGATAGGACCTGTTACAATTTTATGGGACAACACAATACACAGAACAATCAAAGCTAACCGCCCTGACATTGTTATTAGAGACCGCAAACAAACAAGTGCCTCCTTATTGATATGGCAGTCCCTGCAGACTGCAATGTATCTTCAACAAGCTATCAAAGTACAAACACCTTAAAATAAAAATCTCAAAAATGTGGCACATGGGAACATCAACAATCCATGTTGTAATTGGAGCCCTCGGATTGGTTGAAAAAGATTCCAGTAGACTAGTTGAAGGGATTCATGAAAGGCCATGCCTTAAAGACATACAAAAAATTGTTCTCACGAGTACAGCCCACACCTTACAAAGGGCTTTATCTATGTGAAATATGTTTGCGATTTTTTTTTATTGGTCAATGGAAAATGTATGATGCCATTTTTAACCTTAGGTCTTTGGGCGGGACGCCGAAAGAAATGTGTACACACCAGAAATCAAAGGAAATAAAATAATAATAATTTTATTAAGTACACATTTTATTTATTTTTATAAAATAAATAAAATGGGTACTTAATAAAATTGTTTTTCCCACAAATATTTCCCCGCAAAATATTGGATAACCCAGAGTTTTCATGAAATGCTTGCAATATGAAAATTAAGCTGAATATATTTAATACTTAGAATAAAACAAGGAAAATTGAATAAATTTTACTGGAATATAAATCGGTAAATAACATGCGGAAGTTTTGAACACATATCAATAAACAGGCTTCAATATTTAATGGCCTATCCATTATTGTCTATGGCAGCTGTCAGACATTTAGAATTATTTGAGCTCAGCTTCTTGCAGGAATTATCACTAATTTTATGATATTACTGTTGATATGACGGCTTAAGATCATTAAACTTTAGAGATTCCACTGTTTAGTTCAAAGGTTAAATTCTTTTACTGTGGATTTCGCCCAAGTGAAAGTGGAGGCGATTCTAAACAACTTTTCTTCGTCTGTGACCTCTATTACGTTTTCCCTTCGCTATGCCTCGGCATCGTTATCTTTCAAAATAATCCAACATCTATAGAATCTGAGAAATGTCACAGAGGGAAACACATCTTTTTCCATTATTCTTGATACACTGCACTATTCAGTTGGAGATTCGTCTCTGGCTGTGATCGTCACACTCTCTGCTTCCGGGCAGAGAGGATCCTCAGATGATGTTATGTCGAAGGGCAAAGTCTCGTCTCGCGAAACAGCTACCCGACTCCGTTTTATATGGAGTCTACGCAGAATTTTTGGCCGAGCCTACGGGCTCGGATACCCAACATTACATTCGGCCTTGTGTCACGTCTGACCGTGTGGACCGGTTGGTAGACATTTTACACTATTCAATGTTATTCGATCATATCGGGAGCACATGTACCATTGATGGACAAAAGCAATTCTAAATCATACTTTCACCATTCTGTTTAAACGTTAAAGGTCTCCTTTTCTTATCCAGACCTATCCCAAATTGTTTCCAGTTTTTATATCGAATGTTTGTCTCAGATCGAAGTCAGCTTCTTGAGATGATCATAAGCTCCATACTAACCTTCGCATGTCTGCTTTAACAAAGTATCCAATCCTATCTGGTGGAATCTCCGACTGATTATATATTTGCTAACTTCTCCTGCCAGCTGCCCCTCCGATCATACTTCTCCACTATTCATGTGAGACCCAGGTCTTCAATGACCGCTCAAAATATATGTAGACGTTGTAAGTTGAAAGTCATGGTGCGTAATGTGTACGGCAGAAATTTACAATTTAATAAAAATTAAATTTTGGAATTAAATGAGCCATAAGGAACTGATATGTTGTTAAAGAAAGAAAGAAAAAAAAATCTGGTAAAAAAAATCCCCAAAGATTCTTGATTAATTTCAGTTCAGACTATCTGGCATGTATCACATACTACACCATGAATGACAGGCATAATTAAATGCTGGACAAGAATTTGTATCCTGTTCATTTTCATTCAAATTTTAAGGCGACGTTTTTGTGCTTCGTGACCATATTCTTTGCTTATGTTAAAACAGTTTATATTTGTTCTGTTCCAATGATTCGCTTTTTGTGCTGTGACTTATTCGCTGTTATTCATACCAAGATTCTGTGTCTTAAATGTATTATTTCAGAGGCTTCATTTATTTCATTTGGCTCCTCACTCGTAGTATAAATAAAAGCGTAAATATTTAATATATCCATTCGATACTTATATTTATATCAGACTTGTTTGGAAAATTGAAAATGATAGGAGATTCTCAGTAATTGGTACTTTTATGCACCGAGCGACGAGGTAGACTTGACTGCACGCGTATAAATGTGGGAACGGCGCATGGAACTAGAAAGACAGCAAAACCTCCGTGTTTGCTAATAATCTGCTAGTCGACCTCTGCTTCTTGGCAGAGAGAAACCCAAACGAGGTTACGTCGAAGGGCAGAGTCACATCTAGGAAGGTACACATCTTTCCGCCCATGTGTATATGAACTCTAAGAGTGATGAACTTAACTAAGTAATAGACACATTACAATAGGTACAAAGATTTCTGATGCATAAATTCGCCAAATTCCATAACATGTTTACGCTTTTTTTTTCTTTCTTTTTAAGTATGAGTATTATTCAGTTTATATTTTTCTCAATTAAACCAAGCATATAAATTAACTTGACGCCTTTCACATGCGCTGTCTTCTTGTCATATTTGATATGAAATGGGATGACAGGGTCAAGAATAGTAAAATACTGAAGAAATGTAACAACATCACAGGCATTGAAACAATTCTAGCAAAGATACAGCTTAGCTGGGCTGGTCATGTTGTGAGAATGGATGAGCATAGGCTTCAAAAAACGTGCCAGCTACCAAATTCCAAGCATTCAGGTGGACGTCCACTATTACGCTACAACTTGAAACGCCTCAAATTTGATCTGAAAACCTGGGTGCTCAAGCATCTAACCGAAAGGAGTGGCGTAAGACATGTTTCCTTAAGTTAAAGGGTTTTGAAGACAGTAGACTGAAGCACCATGATCAGTTTCGGCAAGCTCTGAAGCAGAGCCGCCATCAAAATCCTGCTTTAACAAATTTCAGGCGTGGCTTTGTTGCCCACAGCAATGCTGGGCTAATATCACACTCAAGAAAGCACAAATGAAATATGTCTTTCCCTAAATTGATTTTCTCCACAATAGCCCCTGCTAGCAAGTATAAGTGTAAATCGAAAGACACTATCCAATGCTGACCATCATTTATCGTTCACGGTAGGAGAGTCCACCATTTTAATATCAGTTAGATACACGTACATTAATTGATTGATTTGTTCTTTACGACTTATCACGCTTTTTCAGGTTATTTTAAACCATAAAATATTTTTAGAGGTTAAGGTTTTGGAAGAGATAATAATGATTTACTTATAAAAATCTCCGTAATTAACCCGTAGTTGGTCGAATAACATGTTTATGCATAGCTTTCCTAAGGGTATTTGAGCATAAGTGAATCAAATGAACACGAATGGAATTGAATTTCGGCTTTCTGACTTCCAATTCCGAGGCATATATACAAGCTTACAGCACCTGGTATTCTCAAGAGATCACCCATCTTAGTATTGACTAAGGTCGACTTTACTGAACTTCGGTAATCCTACGGGAACAGGTGTTTCAACATCGTATGGACGTAAGCCGAACATTTATTCCCCATAGCATAGAATCTAAAGGCCTATTTATTACCATTTTATTCTATGTTAATGCTTGTTCTTAAAATTCTTTTTGAACTGATTAATCATTTATTCGTATAAGGCTTAACCAAGTGTTCCGGGTGCAAATAAAATTCCGCAATAACGCATTCTTCATGCTTTGGTGTTAACGAAATGCCGATGACCACATGACGGCCAAGGAATGACTTCTACTTGTTGGGTGATTAATCTCAGCTGCTGAATAGAAAGCGAAGAAGCGAGACATTATTGTCCGCGACGGTTAGAACGGATGGCAACCATATTGTCCCAAAAAAGAAAAAAAAAACAAAAAAAAACACCACCGGACTGGCTGTTTTCCCTTTCGGTCATATTACAAGTAAGACACTCTTGATTTTTCACCGTGCTTGTTTTATCCATATATGTTATAGTGTCTCTGTGTGGGACAAATGTTGACCGGAATATGCATAATTGTATATCATTTCTTGTATTTCATATCTGCATATAAAATCGTCTGTAAGTAAAATGTCTATTTGGCATTCATTTATTTCAGTCATGCTCGCTCTTCCTTCTTTTTGTGAAGGTGTTAGCATAACACGGATATGCTAATGGCTATGTTGGGGCAACTAAGAACGAGACATTCTTTCTATTCACGCCATTACTCAGAAGATCATATAGAGTTTTATATGAATTTTGGCTTTCAGCAATCTTGTATATATAACAATACTTGCACACAGTAGCAAAATATAAACAAATACCTTCAGAAAAATAACATTTTATATTTAATGCAAAGTCACTTCAGATTGTAAGTGATCCTGGCACTCCGTAGATTTTTACTTTATTTTATGGGGATTGCCATGACTTCGAGGGAGAGATATTAGAGCGGCTTCTTGTTGTCTATTCCATGATATAGAATTCATAGATTTATTGTCTGAGACTGCTTGTCATTCGAGGCTAGAAAGCCCGATTTTTCATCCCCTCTATAGCAAGGGGTAGAAGAGACGGGTTCATGCGTTTTTCAAGTCATCTCTGGACGAAAGCGGACGAAACAGACTTGCTCTCAATTCTAACTTGACTGGCCGATTCCACGTTTTGCATCAATAACTGGTACTCCACCCGCACAACCAGGAAACTATTTAGAAGTTAAAAGAAAAGTTTTTTTCCGAGTCCATTTTATTTCGATATGCGGAATCGTGAGATCAAATTCGAGTTTTTACTATAAAGGAGTTGTCCATTTTTTGTACTATTATTAGTGACACATTTTGAATGACGTATCAATAGTTCCATAGATAAATGATGAAAAAATCATTTAATTTACGAAATGAATACTTATTTTTCAAAATAGTATATTTTCTAGGTAAATGCAATTAATATTTTTATTATTTACATATTACGTTTTTCAAGTTTCAGATCAAAATACGGCTAACAGTTTGAGTTAGGTTTCAGATATACTAATTGATTGTCCTACTGAATAAATTTGACATATGGTTTTGTCTATATTAATAGGATATTTATTTCGGTTTTTCACATAGTAAAAAATATATATATATATATATATATATATATATATATATATATATATATATATATATATATATATATATATATAAACATGCAGCAGTGTTTAAAGGTAATCTTCAGGCCAGAGTATCGTGTTTAAGCATAAAACAGACTACCTAGCAACTGTTTAAAAAGGCAAGATACCTATCCAAACGTGTGAATACATTGTAATAAAACATCTTAAATTAAAAAAAAATCCCTTAATTACTTGTATATATATATATATATATATATATATACAGACGCCACCATAAATTTAATTCTGGTCGAGAATTTCATGGGAGAAAGCGCGAATTTGTAAACAATGATTACTATTGCTAATACTGCAAAGCTCTTCCATGAGTTGACTCATCCGTGTGCATATGATATCGCTATCTTGATGCATATTTGCATTTTCATATAAATGTGTACAAAAAATATCTTAATGTCTGTAAAAATATTGACTCTGCGCACAAAATAGTTAATTCCCATACAAAAACAAATAGCAGTAAGTAATCTCCAGATGCTTTGACGTCACTTTGGATTGATTCCAATTACAGCCTTCTAAACGTGTCATGTTTAGCCAACGAAATCTTGTCTACCACACTGACACTACCCAGTTCTTAATAATGTTTGAGACGGTAGAAAATATTTGAAAAAAAATGAAGAAGAAAACATGAACTTTAAAACAGAGCGTGACATACTTCGGGAGTTTGAGTAAATGGATGGTCGAACAGGCTTTCGGAGAAACAGCAGAAATAGATCAATTATTAATTATCTATTTAATATAGCTACAAAGGACAGGAAGTTGTGGGGAGCCATGATCGCTGACGTACTTAGGGCCTATGCCACATAAAGAACAATGTAGGACATCTTATTTGCAGAATGGACAAATACATGATGCATAATTCTATGGTTGAGTTTAAGGAATCTTATTTGGCTGAACTCA